GCACGTGCGCTCGCCAGACAGACAGAGAGAGGCATAGAGACAGAAAGCGAGAAATCACCCCCCAGGGGGATAGTCACGCCGCAATCCGTTCTCCTCTCGGGATCCTGGGCACACACGCACACGTGCCCGGCATGAGTTTTAAGCCACCGGGTCCGAGACGTGAACCACGGTCGACTACGTGGGAGTCCAGCGACATAGCCATTACACCAACTGCTGGTTCCCTTCTTCATCCTTTTTTAAAAAATTTATTCATTTATTCCAAGACAGAGGCAAGAGAGTCAGAGACTGCTGAAAGTTTTTCTTTTCCACTCTTCTTTCATTTTATATGTTTTCTCTGCATGATTGTGTGTACTTCTGTGACCCTGGTGAAATCTTAAGTTTCGCCATCAGCTTATCCAGCCTGGACCATGGGTGCCTAAGCGCCAGCATGCTCAGTGAGGTTTCCAGACATGAAACAGCAACCTTCCCGTGTGGGACTTCCTTGCAGAGTACTGTGTTTTACTGCTGTACCAGTGTCCGTCCCCCACCCCTTTTGAAGTTTCCTTTATTCGTGATAGTGCATGCATGAAAGAGAGAGAGAGGAAGGGGGACCCTCAACAGGAGTTCATCGTGTCACAGTCTTTCTCCAGCTCCTTAGGATCTCAGATGTGCACGTGCACACACACACACATCCAGCGTGTTTTCAAGCAAACTCAGGGATCTGAACCCACAGTCAACCATGTTGCTTCCAGCACTGCAGTTCAATTTGCTATTGACTGTACCACCCGACTGGGCCATCTTCATCTTTAAATTAGATGTAATGATGTTACTTGGTGGGGTCACATTAAGGGTTCCAGTCAGTTTTTCAAATACTGTGTACATACTGCTTTGATAGGTACTAATATCATTTGAATTTGTTCAGTAAATATCTCCTGTGTACCTACAACATGCCACACACCATAGAGAGCATATAGCCCAGCACCTGCTCATCAAATTGATGGTCTGTTAGGAGATAGACAGTTACAGTACAGTATAACAGGGTCCTCACAGGAGTAATAGTGTAGACGATCCTCTTTTGGATGGGTGGAGTGGGTGAACAAGACAGAGAAGACTTATTGAAGGCTGTAACATCTAAATTGAGGCTTAAGGCCCAGTAGAGATAGGCAGGCAGAGAAGTATGAGAGCAAGGGCAGAACTTAGAGAGAACGCATGGTGCTTGTGCAGAACCATGATAACTGTCTATGACTGGAACCTAGAGTGGGAGGTGGGAAATAATTTGATAAAGACTGACAAGGCCAGGAAGCATCAGACTGTGTTTAGGAGTTTAGACTTAATTCTAAGAACACTAGAGTGCCACTAGAGATTTTTAGGTAGATTAAGTGAAATGATCCAAATTTCATTTTAGAATGATCATTGGCTGTGCTGTTGAAGGTAGATCGGAAGGAGATGATCTAGGAGCAAAGCCGTGAAAAGAGAATAGTTACAGTGACCAGGGTGGAGACTGCTGTTCTCACTATAGTAAAATAATTGCGCTGGGGACGGAGAGGTACTTAGGTTAAAGAGTCATAGCCATCAAAACCTTAGTGTGTGGGAGTGGTTGGGGACAGAGTATATATGTGGGGTGGCTGTTCTTGGTATTGAAGATGACACCGGTATTTCTGGTGTGGCAGCTAGGCACCAAGAAAGGGTATAAGATGGGAGCAGACTTGGGGGTGGGGAAAATGATGGATCGGGTTTTAGACATGTTGAGTTTGAGAAGTCCTTGGGAAATCCAAGAGGGGATGTTCATTGTGATGGATAGGTGAGTCTAGAGCTAGGGAGAAAAGTCTGAGGTAAAGGCAGAGGTTTTCGAGTCAGGGAAAGTGGGTGAGTACTGGCCACAACAGTAGATACAGTCAGGCAGAGACAATGTGGAAAATGAAAAACAAGGTGGAAAGTTAAACGAGGCCACAATGACTAGCTGTACAATCTTGATCAAATTCTTTGTTTCTGTGCGCCCCATGTGGACGGATGGGCAGAAAAAGAAAGGGGCCCAAAGGAAAGTGGTCAGAGAAGAGAACCGTGAGAGTATATGGGGTTCAAACAACTAAGGGAAGAGTTTTAAGAAGTAGGGACCGGCTGACAATCTGCTATGTTGCTGAAAAGCCAAGTAAGACAAGAGCTGAAAAGCATCTGTTGGATTTAGGGGTGGCCTGTGTAAGAGCATGTTCAATAGAGTGACCTGATTCTTGTCCACTCAGTAAATGGTGACATACGTGAAGTGAGACAGCAAATCTGCACACCTCTTTCCAGGAAATCTGACTACAGGATGGAGGAAGAGGAATGGGAGTAGTCATCGAGAAATCGAGACTCAGGAGGGCTCATACACATTTTTCAGTTTGAGGATGACTTGAACTTACGTTGTTAGGAAAGAGCCACAGAGAGGAAAAGGTGGAAGATAACTGGGGCTAATTGAGAGAGACAGGTTCTGGGGGTTTAAATAGAATTGCCAGTTTCTGTAAGTTCCACAAAAACAGGGATCGTGTCTGTTGTGTTAACTACGCAACATGATACCTGGAACATGGAAAGCTTTCAGTAAATGATCGAGTAAATTAGTGATAGACAGTTTAGTACTTTTTAGCCCAAAACCTTGAGTATAATAGGTATACAAATATTTATTAAGTAAATTATATAACCAAAGAGTAATAATTTACAAGTCTAGTATCTTTTAGGGAATGATTTCAAGACAACATGAACACTGATAAATTAATACAAAATACACAATTAGATTTCAAAAACACTCTATTAAAATCTAGTCATAGCATGTCAAGCTCTAAAAATCAGTTCTGTTGTGTGTAGCAAGTAAGTAAATAATAAATGTGACTCAAAAGTTCAAAATGGGATTTGTACTGGGCCCACGAAAGTAAACCTGGCAAGTAGAAATGTAATAGGAAGTATTGGAGTGAAACTTTACCAAAATACTGAAAGTATCCTTGGTTGAAATGTGAAGAATCTATTTCTGATAAAGAAGTTTGTATTTTGTCCCGAGAATTATCGGCCAACTGAGGTCTGACTCATGGTTTTGTGTTTTAAGAAGTGCTGTGACAAGAGGAAAGTTGCAGTTTTAGAACTGAGCATAGATTCCTCTCTCTTCAGACATGCTTCCAGTCTAACTCAGTCTCTTCCTTGTTGCCAATTCCTGGTCCTGACCCCAAGGTGTGGAATGCAGACCAAACGGGGAGAGACTTGTCTCAGGGCCAGCATTAGATGTTGACAATGAAATAAAACACTGCCCTTTTCCTCGTACATGGAAGCAGTGCAAGACCAGAGAGGAAGAGCAGGAGGTGAAAGTAAATGATTTCCGTCTGTTCTTGACACTGATGTACAAAAAGGTGTGCGTTAATGGAGGGTTTTCTGATGTGGGCTGTAATAAATGAGTGGAAGGTTTTTGGAGTTGTAGACTGTAGCTTTGGGGTTGGTCATTCCAAAGTTACTTCTGAAATGAAATGATTTGTCAGGGTTTTTTTCTTAGGCCATTTATTCTAGCAGTTCATCTTGAAGTTGTGCCTGGTTGACCTCCAGGGTAATTGCCATTACCGCATAGTTTCTCAATCCCCCACCCCCATCCCAAGTTTAGACGATGCACTAAGGAAGGGACAGAAGCCAGAAGCCTCACTTTCCATCACTTTCAAATGGTCATTCTTTCAACATGTCTTTCCTGACACTTGCTGTGTGCCAGGTTTTGTGCTAGGTGCCTGAAATATAACAGATGAACAAGATCTTCAGGGAGTGCTCACCTACCCCCAATAAACAAAAGACTGTGGAAAGTAAAATGTTTTTTCTTTGTTAGGAAAAGTTGGGTAACTTTGCTTTAAGTATAACCCTCAGAAGGCTGAATCAGCTATCCACTCCCGATGTGGAATGTTACATTGTGGACTTGTGTAGAAGTAGGCACATCTACAATGACTAGAGAAGCCATGATGTTCCCTTTAGTATGCCTTGCAAAAATGTCTTCAGTTGGCCCTGGGTGTACTTACTGGTCTGTACCGACAGTTGGTGTTACTCAAAATTATTAACAAATGGCTATAAAGGACCGTAGGTTTTAGGAGCCAGTGACTCTGTATCTGTGTTTTAAGGCATGATCCACCCTGGCCAAGAGAGTTGCTAGGAAATTTGTTCATCTTTAAAGCTCCTAGTTTTGAGTTAGTCAGTATTTATTGTATATCCACCCCTATAAGAGGAAGAGCTTTAAAAACAAAGCATAACTGTTGGTTTCCAGTAAACATTTATTGTTTGATATAGTTAATCTTTTAAATTAATATTCCCCCCCAAAAAACAAAAACAAAAACAAGAATATTCAGTATAGTGTGGTAGATATCTGGTTTCAACCTAGCTCTATTACTAACTGGATGTATATCCTAGGACAAGTCATTCACTTCTAATGTGTGTTTCTTTGTCTAAATGGGAGTTTTGTACCTAAAAAATTTCCAAAATCCAATTCTGTTGAGTTATCAGAAAAGTCATGAGATATTTTTCTCTGTTTTTGTTTAATGGAAAAATGTGTCATGACTTTTCGATGACCCTATAGTTTTAAAATTCCCTAGTTGTATAATAGTCATTCTTAGGTATCTGTAGAGGATTAGTTCCACTTTCCCTCTCTTCCTCCCCTTGGGGTTCCAGAATTCATGGATACTGAAGTCGCTTCTGTACCATGGCGTGGTATTTGCACATAACCTACTCGTACCCTCTTATATACTTTAAGTCATCTCTAGCTTTATGAAATGCTGTGTAAGTGATACTGTACTATATTGTTTAGGGCATAATGATGTAAGAATAATTATAAGGAGAAAAGTCTGTTTCTGTTTGGTACAGACCAATTTTTAAAATTTTCAATCTACACATCTACATCTGTGGATGTAGAACCCACAGGTAAGAAGGACTGCCTGTATTTGATTATTATCTGTGCATAATCTCTCATGAACTTTAACTCATCTCAATCATAATTAACCTAATACAATGCCTGCACATCACTTTATTTATAAAGAGTTAGCATAGTACTCTGTATCAGGCAAATTTAAGTTTTGTTTTTTGGAACTTTGTGCAATTTTTCCCTTCATATGTGAGAAAGACAAACATCATCCCCAATAGAGTCCCAGTGCCACAATCTATGTATCCCCAGCTCCAGCCAACCCCAGATCATGCACGTGAGTGTGCCTTTCGTACTCAGAGAGTATAAACGGACATGCGCTTGAACCCATCTACGTGGATCAGCCCCACAGAGCATCACATTTTACCACTATGCTGCTATCTAGTCCCTCAGATATTTGTAATCCACAGTTGGTTAAACCTGTGGATGTGAAATTCTTAGATTCGGTGGTAGGACTCGGGTAGGAAATATTAAGTAGATGCAATAGGAGTTTGAAAATAAGTTTGATAATAACATAAATTAACATGACATTTCTGCCCTCAGGTTTAGTGCCATACAGTGTGCTGCTGCAGTCCCTAGAGCTCC